AGGGAAGGCTCATGTTGGATGGTGATCAAGATGAGGATGTTGGCAATGAGAGCTAAGATGTAGAGCAGAGCCAGGGGCAGGGAGAGCCAGTGCTGCCACTCATGAATGCCTGGGAGCCCCACCAGGATGAACTCAGACACTTGAAGCCTTGAGCTATTGGTTATACTCAGGGTGGTATCCATATCATGGGATGTCTTCTTCTCAGCATCTGCCTATGGATTAAGGGAAGCAAGGATAGTGTGTGGTTAGCTTAGCTAAAGGTTAAAATTTCTGTGCATGTATAAGATTCACCACAATAATTCAGTTCTGTTAAATATAATGCATCCTTTATCCCCTTGAGACTCTGGGAAAAAGTTTACCTAAGAATAAAAGAATAAAAGAAGGTGCAGTGTGATAATAAGATAAAGATTTAATATAATACAAGTAAAGATTTACTGATTCTATGTGCCTGAAATCCAGCATATATTTTTATATGCTGGGGACATGAACATAATGCGGGAGACAGATACATTTTAAAGAAACATACATATCAGGCCTGTTCTAGCTTTCAGTGGTTGCCAAACAAAATATTACAGACTGGGTAACTTAACCAATGGAAATTTGTTTTCTCACAGTTTCGTGGGCCAGAGGTCCAAAATCAAGGTGTTGGTGGTCCTGTTTTCTTCTCAGTCCTCTCTCATTGGCTTATAGATGACTGTCTTCTTCTGATGTCTTCACATTGTCTGTTGTTTGTAAATGCACATGTCTGTGTCCAAATTTCTTCTTAAGGACACTTGTCACATTGGATTAGGGTCCGTGGTCAAGATTTCATTTTAACTTAATTACCTCTTTAAAGACTTTTTCTGCGAAACTGTTAATTCTGAGGTACTAGAGACAAGGATTTCAGTACCTGAAGTGAAGCATACAACTGATCTCTAACAAGTAAGTAAAGTTAGGGGGTAGAGGTGATGTCTCCATTCTTAGGGATTTCAGAAAGAGAATAAGTGGCTGCAGTTAGAACTCTGACCAGGCTTTTTGAGTGCCTTGTTGTTGGAGAATAATTTCTGACGTAAAGCACTGCATTTAATTTTACCATACAGGTGAGGAAACAGATTGAATGATTTGTCTAGATAAGGATCATGTATCAAAATCACTAATATGTGTCAAAGCTACAGCAAAATTTTAATGTTATGCATTAAATCCAACACTCCTTTCATAAAATCTTAGCCAAAAGGTTAGTACCCTATGGAATAGCATTTGTTTCCTTTTCTGATTATGAAAGGAATGTTAAAGACATACCTAGAGCTGTATTTTTAAATCCCTTATGTTATTAACAAAAGGTAGGAGGAGGAACAAGTGGCAAAAATCTTAAATTAAAAAAAAAATGTTTATGTATTTTTGAGAGAGGGAGAGAGAGAGCAGGAGAGGGGCAGAGGGAGACACACACACAGAATCTGAAGCAGTCTCAGGCTCCAGGCTGTTAGCACAGATCCTGACTGACACAACCTCATGAACTGTGAGATCATGGCCTGAACTCAAATCAGATGCTTAACCTACAGCCACCCAGGCGCCCTCTGGCAACAAACTTTTAACAGCTTCTATATTTCTGTATGGTACAAATTGGAAATATAGCACGCACATTTAGCCTTTTTTTTCTTTGCTTAAGTAATTTTGTGGCTTGCTTTTACTCTTGGTTCTCTTTTTAAATATATTCTTGATTTATTAATTCTTTAATTTTTGGAGAACTTTTCAAGCAATTGTATCTAAAACTGTACCTGAAAGACTGATGTCAGCAAAATAGTGGGCTAGGAAACTGTAGGTCTTTGTTCTACCACAGATCACTAATCAAGCAACAGATTGACCAAAATAGCTTTGTGGTTGTTCTAGAAACTGAGAAACTAAGTTACGATCTATAGGGACCAAGTGAATGAATGCCCAACCGAAGAAATGCCACACTCAAAATTGCAGGAGTTTTCACGGTATTTTCTCACTCTTGTCTCACCCTCTCCTTTATGCAGCATGGTACACGCAGGAGGAATCCATCCAATTCTTAGTTTCTCCCTTGAGAGGTAAGGTAAAAAGTATTTTCATGGTCGTCTGACTGGGAAGTCCCATCCTTTTGAGGTTGTCCCATCATCTTAGAGCTCTGCTTCATTTCTCTCCTATTTTCTGATCATAGACCATAGTCTCTATAGATGGGAAGAGCTTGTAAGAAGGGAGGTAGTAAAGGTGAAGATCAAATAAGTAAAGCCAGCCATGGAAGTGGAAGGCATATACTAATCAAATTCAGAGTCAGGACAGAATTACTGGAATGTATACATCAATCCCCTCACCTCTCAGGATGTAGATCATTGGTTGGTTTCCTTACTACTTCAGGAGGATCTTTGAAGAGGCTTTCACACTGACAGTGCTTTCTGTAGCTGTTTCTGCTCTCCTGGCTTCAGCTACCTGTGTTCAGCCATATGTTTTCAGAGCAGATCTGTAACTTTGTTTGTCATCCCTGGAGTGTAGGGTTTTAGAATAAATTAGATCCTGGTGATGCCTGGTTTGGTGTGCTGGTCTATAAGCCCTCCCCACTCTACTCTAAGCGTCCTCCAGGGTGTAATGCTTTTTTTTTTTTTTTTTTTAAATCAAAATAAGGCCTCTGGTGCCCTTGGGGGTTAGCCAAGTAATTTCAGGGAGTAGACACATCCAATACTAATCTTAGGGCAGTTCCCCAGATGGACAGCTTTCTACTCCAGACTCCTCAGAGTTTAACTGATGAATAATTCTCCTCAAATTGTATGACAGTTCTGAAGTAGCCCCCCACCTTCAAATGTATGTTTACTTCATATCCCTCCCAGAGATTGCCTGTATTTATTTTCCCCTTCACAAACTTTGTGAGTAACCTCTTTATTGTGTTTACTCTTCCTCATCTTCTTGATGTTTATTTCACTACAATTTAATTTTTGTTTCAATATTGCACAGAAATTTCTCTCATTAATACTCTCAAATTGCCAAAAATAATGTATTTTTTTAGAATGTAATCTCACTCAAACCCTCTCTAGTGTTTGTCTGTGTTGATCAGTTCCTTCTAGTACCACCTGCCTCTCTTGTATTTCATGACGTGGTACTTTTAGTGTTAATTAAACTGAAATAAAAGAGTGATGTTTAACTTGTATTCAGATCAAATCCTTCTTAATGAGAAATGTATTGGTTGATAAGTCTATCTAAAATGGCAGTCCCAATTCTATCATTCTCTGCTTTATTTCTAGGACACTGATCACAACATGCCAAATTATGGACTTACTTCTTTGTCATTTTGATTTTTAAAATCATTCCCTTTGGGTTGTTTTACTTTTTTGATGATACCCTTTGTCTTTTTTTTTTTTTTTTTT